TCAACATTGCCGCCATCTTGTGAAGGCGTGCTCGTGAAACTTACAGTTCCATAATGCATTGCGATCTTAAGGCGTGACACGATGTCACGACATCCGTGACACGACCGTAAAAAACGTCCTTGGTTCGCATATTGTGCGATTCGTAGATTCAGTCTAAACGATCCGTATATGAATCAAAAACTGACTTTGCACGTTGTACAAACTCTATATACAGATCATTCATCAGGGTCCCAAAACGGGGGGTAGGAGGGGTACCTGGAGCCCTTGTGCCTGAACGTTTTGCGTGTGGGGTCCGGAGCCCCATCATTTCACGGCCTGGAGATCTGATCTTTTTTAGGTACGGTGTCCGGAGCCATGAAAGTCTTGCTGTGGAGCCTGGAGTCCAAATTAATGCAATCTAGTGAGGAGACAGTGTAACAGGTAAGAGAATAACGCATTTTGTATCACATTCCAAATGTGTTTCTCTGTTTTCTGGAGTTTACTTGCCTCCCATTTAATTTAGTTAAAATCTTTGTTCATTAAAGTGAGAAATCAGTTATCAAAAAAATCATTAAAGAGAAGTGCAACAGATAAGAGAAACAGGCATTTTGTAACACATTCCACATGTATCACATTTCTTGTTTTTCTGAAGTTTGCTTGCCTCCTATTTAATTCAGTTAAAGTCTTTGTTCATTAAGATGAGAGTTGACCGAAAAAAAATCAGTTATCAAAAAAACATTAAATAGACTACCACGTTGCATTGGATTAAAGGACTTAAAAGGGTCAGTCACATATTGCACCCCATGATTTGCAAATAGTCAGTTAAGTGGCTGTTAATAATTAACTGAAGGCCTTAAATGGATAAAACCTCTCCTAGTTGACCCCTTTTATAGAAAAAAAGCATATGATTAAATGCAAAACCCTAATTTTCTTGAAAGTCTTTGTTTTGTACTGTTTATCACCATACAAAGCAAGCATCTTAATACCTTGTAAGCAACTGCAAATGGAAATTAATTTCAGTGTATTCATTTATAATATCTACCAACGTACCTTACAAATCCAGGCGGAAACGAGCTCGTATTGTCCTTCCAATGTGTCACGACGAATTGGTAGCAATTTACTCCGGGAAATAAGTAAGCACATATGTTTATACTTGAAAGTCTAGGGTTTAAAATTTTGCCATGCTTAATTATAATTACAGAATACCAGGGAGAATGCAATATTCGAGTCAGACACTAAATATTACAAAAATATCAAATACCATCTACCCGGCGTTCAGTTGGCTGTCGAGCAAGAGAAGAAAGTTTGACCCAGGAAATTATTTAAAACCCCTAGCAAGTTTGATGTTATTCAAGAATTTTGATGTCTTCATTTAAGTTTGGCAAGCATGATTGCTACTCGGGGAGGGGGGAGAGGGAATTCCTCTATAAAAAGGACCGTCGGAAATTTTGAAAAGAAAATTAAACCCTAAGAGGTCCCAAGGTACTGTTTTGTGGGCATGGCTTGAATTCGTTTCACACCTGAGAGATACCAATTTTGAAACAACACATTACCTCCTCTAATATTTTTTCGGCAAAATACCCTAAAAGGTAGCGCGAAAGCTCTTTTTGTGGATTTTTTGAGGCTGAATATCCTAGCTAAGAGACACCAAAAACCGCATTTTTAAACCTTAAATTAAAAGGTACGAAGAGCACCCCTGCTCTTTTTATATGGGAGACCCCCCAGGGATTGTTAGCGCTAGTTACCACCGCTAGATTCATCCGCGAGCTACATGCAGCCCAAGCTCAGTACGCGAGCGTCGTTATCACTTCAGAGATACCCCGGTAGTTTCGCTACAAAGCCGTTTCGCTGTAAGTTATAAGCTAAATTAAATTCTCCCTGTGGCCTGAAGCGCATGGCGTTGAATTCAGGATCGCATGTAACAGAGTGTCAAATTGTAAGTGATCAAATATTCACCGATCACAGAATTAATAGAAAACTCAGTGTGATGGTTTTGGCCTAAACAAAACATAAACAGCAAGAATATTAAACTAAAAAGGTTGAAGTAATAATATTTCAACCGAAAAAATTTATTTTCGACGAATTTCAAACAAGTAATAAAGGCTAAAACCTTTTTGTCTGTAACTTGACTACAAATGTCAGTTGTCAGTTAAATTTTCGAGTAGTTTTCAGTTCTCATTTTTTTTTCCGCCATTTTTTGTCAGTTAACCCCACCCAGACCCTCAGAGGAGTGGTGTCGGGTGGAGTGGAGTAGAGTCCGGTTTTTAGCAAGGGTGGTGTGGTGGAATATAGCGAAGTTGGGGCGTGCTGTGGTGTAGAGTGGCGAAATGTAGTGCAGTGCAGGGGTGGTTCGGTATGGTGAGGGGTGGTGTACTTTTGGGTGGCCAAGAAAGAAATGATGCGTAGCAGAAGCTGAATTTTCATTCCATTGATTACTGCACCGTTGAAGCTTTTCCTACATCTCTCGCTAAGTCTTATGTACAAGAAGCGAAAAGGAATAGTTCTTTGAAATCTCTAGGCTACTGGCAGCCGGTCATTCCTCTTCGGCAATGGTTAGACGAGTGCCGTTATCCAACAAGCGTAGAATTTATTTTCCACCCCCAAGAGGGGGTTTCACCCCTACATTTGGAATCGATTTTGTACACACGTGTAGTCGCTGCATTAGTCTGGCAAACGATGGAAAGAGCACAATGACTTTGAAACGTACAGCTGAACAATCTTGATATAATTAGGACTCTCGTGAAAGTTGAGACGATAAAAGTTAATTGTATAGCTGTCGTTTCTGATTTTTTTGTGTTTTATCAGTGGCAGAAAAAATATCGAGGCTGAAATTTGCGAAATTTTAAGAATATTTTAAGAATAACCCCGAGGCTCAGATTTGGGAAAGAATATAATTTTGTGCGTTGAACGCAATACAACGCATGCTTATATGTTTTTTTAACTTAGCCATAAAAACATTTTTCCTTTCTCTAAACGGGATAACTGGCCAAAACAACAACCGTGACTAGCTGTATGCTCGATGCTGACAACATTTCTCCAATGCGTGTCATATCACGCTCTATTGTCTGCGGTCTGGCTCCAAAATTACTTTAACGCTATCAAAGTCGTGAGGGGACAGATAATCTGACGTTGCGTCTACATAGTCCTTGTTGTATTCCTACTGATCTAAGGGTATTCACAAGAATATTTTCAGCCTAAAATCGGCAGAAAAATAAGAATATTTAACCTGGGCCGGAAAAAACAATATTCTTATTTGAAAAAGAGTGTTGTTGTTTGAGGTTTGTTATAGAAGTCAATAAACTGAAAAGGCTCAGAATTTATCTCATTCCAAGTGCCCTGGCCTGCAGCTAAATATCATATTTTTAGAACAGAATGTTCTGGAACAAGTGTTCCCGTCAGAGGCCTGTCAAATCCGGCAGAAAAGAAACAAATGATTTTTCCAATCCTTGGTGACCAACCACTCCTTTTGAGAGACTTTCTTGGAACAGAAGACCAAAACGAGAATCAATAATTATCATGAACACTTATTTTTAAAATTGCTAACCACTGGTTAATATCTGGTTTTAATCGCGGGTCGAACTCGCCTGAATAAGCTGATATCATATAAACAACACGGTCTGTCGAGTCACCTTATGACTCTGTTAAAGCAAGAAAAACAACTCAAAATCTGTTTCTTACTTCATGCTACGCCTTTTCATTGAAATAAGTAATTACCACCAGCTACGCAAGTTGGGTAGATTGTTTCAGACGCTCGGTCAGTTGAGAAGCAAACTGGTTTGCCGTCTATTGTGTCCGTATACCTCATACTCTCTTGCCCTGAGGTATAATCGTGACGCGTGACAGGTTAGTAAATGAGATTCAAATTTCTTGAACTACCGCTGAACTGATTGACTTTTAGGAACAACGCTTTCTTCGCGTCTACAGTCAGGCTACTTCGAGACAGAGAGCTGTACGTAAATCACACCATTCTTAGCCAGAGAGCCATGTCTATCCTCGTTGAGAAAAACTGGCAAACAGTAAGACCGACGATCAGAGAAAGAAACAAGTTTATGTTCAACAACGAACTCCTCAGCGATGTGAAGTTTCTTGCTCGAGGGGTCAATGGCGAAAGTGAAAGTAAACAAGTGATTCCTGCTCACAAGTTTGTGCTGTCGATTAGCAGTCCTGTATTTGAAGCCATGTTTTACGGTGAGCTGGCGGAGACTACAGACTCTATTGAACTGCCTGACTGTGAACACGAGAGTCTGTTGGAGTTGTTTCGTTACATGTACAGCGATGAAGTGAACTTGAGCGGAAGTAATTTGATGGGAGTG